AAATTTGTTAGTCTCTAAGGTGCCACAAGTACTCCTGTTCTTTTTGCATGTCTACACTGACTGCAAAGCTGCTTTCACATTGTGTTAATTAACATGATTCCTCAAGATCTTGTTCTAACATGACCTAATTTTGTAGTGAACCCAACTCCATAGAGATGAAAGACTCCATATCCCATTCCCCATCATGCCATATGACTGACATTTCCTGATTTGGTGGCTGAATGTCTCATCATGGAAATCTCTCTCTCTGTCTGTCTCTCTCAGTCCTGTTTCGAGTTGTCTGTCTGGATGAAAACTTCCATCCTCTGAATAGGTTGGTAAGTATGCTAGTCATTAAGTCATCAGTGAGGGGAAAAGGATGAGAGAAACATCCCTTCGAGAAGAGGTGTTCCTCAGATTAAGGTGGGGCCCTAGTGCCAGGGGTATCCCAGTGCTTTCTGACACTCTAGGACTCCTCCTTTAGACTGCTTCATAAAGTCATCTCATTACAATCTTGGAAAGATTTGGGAATGACATAACACACAGACAACATCCCGTTAGCCACCTCAGCACGAAGCAAAATTCACTTGTTACTAGGGTCGTAGGAGCTGCCCTTAGCCTTCCAAAGGGAGCAATGGAGGCAAAAGACATATCTGGCTTCAAGACTAAGCTTGATATGTTTATGGAGGGGATGGTATAATGGGACAGCCTAATTTTGGCAATTAATTGATCTTTGACTATTAGCGGTAAATATGCCCAATGTGATGGGATGTTAGATGGGTTGGGATGTTAGATGGGTTGGGATCTGAGTTACTACAGAGAATTCTTTCTTGGGTGTCTGGCTGGTGAGTCTTGCCCACATGCTCAGGGTTTAGCTGATTGCCATATTTGGGGTCGGGAAGGAATTTTCCTCCAGGGCAGCTTGGCAGAGGCCCTGGAGGTTTTTCGCCTTCCTCTGCAGCGTGGGGCACGGTGTCACTTGCTAGAGGATTCTCTGCATCTTGAAGTCTTTAAACCACAAGTTGAGGACTTCAGTAGCTCAGACATAGGTCAGGGGTTTGTTACAGGAGTGGGTGGGAGAGATTCTGTGGCCTGTGTTGTGCAGGAGGTCAGACTAGAAGATCTTAATGGTCCCTTCTGACCTTAAAGTCTATGAGTCTATACCAGATCACTGCAATTGGACCATTTATCCTGGTATTTCTCCTCCCTGCTATACCAGATCACAACCTTGAATCCACCATGCTGCTATCTTGCCTTCCTGCTAGAGCTGAACAGATCAATGGTCTATCTCCTTTAACCCTGTCCTCTCTCTGACTGGGGCCAGTGCCACATGCCTCGCAGGAAGCTTTAAAACTCTCATAATACATCTCATTATGTAGTGCTGTCCCATGGAGGGACATTTTTTCCAGGCCTTAGCTGGTGATTGGCTTATGCCTGAAGCACGATGATACATAGCCCTGGTAATTTGTAGCCTAGCTGGTGTCACTCAAGATGCTGTTCTCGTTTACATTAATGTCTCTGATCTTTCTCAGCACTTGCTGACATTTCCATCTGGGGTATGAATTCTAAACTCATTCTCCCTTTTGCACTTTTTTCCAGGTTCCACTGGCCTATATTGAGGTATGTAGAGGAATTTACTTCATGTTCAGAACTATCACATCTCACCATGGGCAGCAATCAGCCCCTGGCTGCCTCAAGCTGCTTCTTGCTGACTTTGTTTAGACCCATAGCGCTAACTGGAAGAGGGATACGCTTTACCCCCCATAGTGCCAATAATGCATCCAGATACTGCCATGCAACCTTCCTGATATTCCAGTCCTGGGCTCCCCACACAACTCTGCCAATGCTTCTCATTTCTCAGCGGCATCACCCCTTACTGTCCAAGTAATCTTGTGGTCTTGACACCTCTAGGACCCACAGAAGAACCGTGTGTATCAGTGGCAAGAAGTTGAGTTAAAAGGGGGCTTCACCCAGCTCTCCTTCCCCCTCACCTCCGAGCCCATCCAAGGGACCTACAAAGTGGTGGTGCAGAAGAGCTCTGGGGACAAGGTGCAACACCCCTTTACTGTTGAGGAATATGGTAAGGATGGCTGCTTTCATAGTGTCAAGCCAGTTGCTGGTAGTTGATCCAAGGTGTTGACAAATGGAGAATGAAGGCTGGATTGAATGGGTCAGTTGGTCTGATCAGCATTTTCTGTACAGCTGGAATGGGGCAGGGAGGAGTCTGTACTCCCACAGGTTGGGGTAATGCCCTCTTCAGAGTTGTCCTTTACTGTCTATCTTGAGGGTCGAGTACCAGAGAACTCAGTGAATCCTCCACCCAGCACCACCAGTACAAGATCTTCACTGCTGGAGTGGTAGACAACCTGTGATCAGGGTCCCAGTGGGGGCCAGCTGTGGTCACTCAATTAGGGTGAACTGCAAAGAATGGGGCAGAAAATCCCCCAAAAGCTGGTGGATATTCCAATACTTAGATTTACCAAGCCAGCATAAAACAGCTTCTTTATTACCTTACTGGTTACTCAGAAGTCCAAAAACCACACTTCTCTTAAAGTGATCCAGCCTCAGGCCTCCATCCAGATACCTAAGTCAAATATGATGATTTCTGAAAATCTTATTTCATCATATAAAAGAAAAGGTTCTACCAATCCCAAAGGATCAGACACATTACCTCCCAGGTTAATGAATGTTTTAAATCTTACCCAAATACACGCTACAGCCAATTCTTATTAACTAAACTAAAATTTATTAAAAAACAAAAGAGAGGGAGTATGGTTAAAAGAGCAATATACATACAGACATGAGTTCGATTCATTGAGGTTCAGATTCATAGCAGAGATGGCGAGCTTTGTAGTTGCAAAGAGTTCTTTCAGAAATAGTTCATTTCTTTCAGAAATAGTTCATAGGTTATAGTTCAATGTCCAAATATCCTATTCAGGGCGAACCAGCATAACTGGGACCTCAGTCTTGCGACTCAAACTTCCCCCAATGAAGCTTAAGCAATCTGAGATGACAGAGTCAGGACCCAAGGATCTTTTATACAATTTCATGTCCTCTCTGGCAAGTTGGGAGTTCCTCTGGGAACAAAAGGTAATTCTTTGAAGGAGGTCCATCACCAGTACTTAGCTATATGGATTAACATAAGGCAATTTGCTTATTTCTCCACCATTCACAGTGCATTTCAAAGAGAGATGAATACAGAGATATCCCGTGTTTACAATTCATTTAAATGCTAGGATGTTCTTTAACCTCTGAATGATCAGAATACAGCATAGACAGGGACTGTTGATTACACTGTCGACCCTACTCATACATATGGAAATACACAAAAACACAAACATTATCTCCCCACATGTCTTTTGAGGGTTATTTATTTTGCAGGATGTTTAATCCTTTCTAGCCATACGTCACACACCCACCTTAGAAAGGCTCCAATCAGACAGGGCTGTGCTCCCCTTTGAGTCAGTGCTGACACCAGTGCAGCAGCCTGGTGCTAGGGGCACTGTGCTTGTTGGAGTCCTGAGGTTTCAGATGCGCTACAAGGCCAAGGCCCTGACTCTTCCTGGTTAATAAAAGTCCTGAGGAACTTTCTGCAAGAGCAGGGGTGTGAACCCCAGTACCCTGACCACATTCCAGTTCCATTACCATCCTACCTCCCTGAAACGCTTCCTGGCGGTCCCCCCCACAGAAAGTGTTCACTGCTCCTCTTAGGACACTGCTGTGTAGTGTGGCTGGCTTGGCGTGTGTGATGCTGCCCTCTAGTGACTGGCTCATAGAGAAGAGAAAAGGCTTTTGCCCTGCCAGCAGCGAGGGGAGATCTCCTTTGGCTAGAGGCGTGTGATTTTGGAACTGAAGGAACCCGGGTTTAGGCTTAATTCCCTCTGTGTGTGTATGCATGTATGTGATTTATTTAATAAATGTGTCTGCTGTCAGACACCATTGTGGGACAGACTGGCTGCCATGTTCCAGCTCTGAGGCAGCTGTATTTTGGTGGCAGGTGAAGTAATCTCCCTACTAATATGGCATTAGTTTAATAGGGGCTGAGCAACCGTAGCTCCATTGATTTCAGTGGGAGTTGCAGGTTATCAGAACCTCGGTAAATCAGGCCAATGAGAAAGGCTATGAAATGCTTTGGGTCCGCTTGGGAAAGAGGCCTTAGAGCAATAACCAGCTCGCCTTATCATGTTACCCCCTTTCCACTGAGTTTGCGGTTCCGTTTGGTCTCTTTTCTGCAGTGCTGCCCAAATTTGAAGTGCTGGTGAAGCTGCCCAAGATGATCAGCATCCTGGAGGAGAAGTTGAAGGTGACAGTCTGTGGTCTGTGAGTATCATTCTTATATTCACTCCTTTTTGGTGGGTCTCTCAGCCCAGTGGCTAATGAAGCCCCAGCTGGGAGCTGAGATCAATATGCTTTAAAATATTTCTTAATACAGTTTTTGGGACCTATACACAAAGGCCTCAAGGCCCAGGACCAAGAAGTGAAATGCTTCCTGTAAGGCTCTGTTTATAATAGGCTAACAAGCTTTTCATCAACTGCTTCTTGGAGCACCTTGAGCTCCACCCCTTGTGGCCATAACACAGGAGCTATCCCAGGTGTTCTGCAGTTGCTGGTTGCAATGCCTGTGGCGAAGTGTTTGGCTCAGGTCCAGTAGGACTGGTGCTTTTAACAAAGGTTGCTCCATCATTGTTGATGGGGAAACTACGAGGCAACCCTGGTTCAGCTAGTTCACTTAGTGCTGCCCCGCAGTGCCGTGTCTCATGTTTGGCAATCTCCAGAGTTTATGCTGAGCACTCTGAAATGCACGGCAGAATGCACTGCGACAGTGAGTTGCAAGACATTTGCTATGTAGTAGTTTAGTCAAAAATGGACACTATGCAACATGCAGACAAGTGATTCAGCCAAGCATTTCCAGCAGTTGGTATTCTTGCAATGGGTTCTTCAAGACTGAGTTCTGCTCTCGGCTATACAAGAAACATGGCAAATTACTTCAGTAGAGTTGGATGGGATTTACAGAGGGGCAGCTGGCAGCGTTGTTTTGCCCCTCATATAGACGCACACCTTATCTGGCTCTGTTGAGGACCCTCCTAGAATAGTACTTTTATTTCTTGGGCACTTACTATCCAAGTTAAAATGGAGGGGACTTAGAGAAGAGTAACACAAATAATGGAGGGGCTGGAAGGATTGACTCACGAGGAAGGACAAAATAGCTAACAGGCTCAGTCAGCCTGATGTAGGTAGGGCTTACTCCATAGCTGAATTTGAGCCCAATATGTTAACAAAGCTGTGGCCACCAAGGACTTCCCACTTATCACTAGGCTGCATCCTGGACAATAAACAACCCTGCCTGGGTCCTTGTGGGGATGGACTAACCATCCCTCCATCTCTTCCATGTCACTAATGGTCTTGGTTTTCTTTCACCCCTCCCTGGTTATAGATACACCTTTGGAAAGCCAGTCCCTGGCCTTGTGAACTTCCGTGTATGCCGGAAATATAACCACCCAGGCACCTCCTGTTATGGCGAGGATGCAAAGGCAGTGTGTGTGGAATTCTCTGGACAGGTGGGTTATTGCTACTCTGGTGGTGTGAGGTGGCATGGATAATAAAACTGTATATACGCTATGGGTACAATCCTGCACTGACAGGGAGCTGGACTGGATAGGTTAATAGGTTTTTTCCATGAAAACACTGTGGGATACCAGATTAGACGTACCAGTAATAACGGATCTGGACTCCTTGCCATTGCAGTGGCCTCAGGCACTGATGCACCCCAGTCCCTCTTATTCTCTGCCTGTGGCACATAATAGTCTAGTCTCCTAATTTTGGTTGTTGGATGAGCATGCAGGTACTGGGTGGTGTTGGCAGCAATGTTGCTGTATATTTCAGAATGTTCATTGTCAGTTTATGGGCTTTCCGAATCTGGGGGAAAAAACCCTGAACAGTGAAAATGTGGTGTTTTCCAATTTCTTTTTTCTCAGTTCAATGGGCAGGGATGGATTTTCTGAGTATGGTAAACCTTACAAACAGGTGAATGAGAGACAAAGTCCCGAAGAATTTTGTTCTTCTTTGTCCATCAGGCAGACAGCCACGGCTGCATTTCTGAAGTGGTAAAGACCAAGATATTCCAGCTCAGGCGAGCTGGGTACGAGGATAAAATCCAAGTGGAAGCCAAGATTAAAGAGGAGGAGACAGGTATGAATTGTTTGGACTTGCCAGGGCTGTGTGGGGAGCCCAGGACTGGAATAGCAGGGGGCTGCAGGGCAGGATTGAGGGGCACTGGCAGAGCTGTGTGGGGATCCCAGGACTGGAATAGCAGGGGGGCTGCAGGGCAGGACTGAGGGGCATTGGCAGAGCTGGCGGGGAGCCCAGGACTGGAATAGCAGGGGGCTGCAGGGCAGGATTGAGGGGCACTGGCAGAGCTGGGCGGGGGGAGCCCAGGACTGGAATGGCAGTGGGCTGCAAGGCATGATTAAGATGTGTTAGTTCATGCCCCCTCTTTGTTCTCTTCTCTTGCAGGGGTGGAGTTAACTGGGACGGGCTCCTGCAAACTCACATCCACCATTAGCAAAGTCACCTTTGAGAAAGTGGACTCCCATTACAAACCTGGGATCCCCTTCTTTGGGCAGGTAGGGAACCTCTGAAACCACAAGCAGGTAAATGACATGTGAGCATCAAATGAGTGTGCCACAGAATCTGCAGTCACAGCGTGGTGATATTTCCTCTCCTTCCATGGGAGCTGCCGGATCACAATATTTTTAACACCCAGTGCCTTTGCTTCTTCGTCACAAGTTCTGGCACCAGTGTCTCTGCAGCGTAAGACCTGGGGTTGTGCAAAGCTGGTTATGCTCAAACTGAGCTAGAGTTTACCTATCTCTGTGAGACCCCAGCTACTCTCCCTGACTGTCCTGAGGGCCCAGAGGAAATGCTTGTGGTGGAATTTTCCCTCTGGCCCTTCGCCTACCCTTTTCTGTTCTGAGGATGCCTCCTGCTGGGTCGAGTCAAGGTGCTGCTTCTCTAACTCTCCAACTGTTTGGGAGACTCACAGCTCTGGGATGTGTGACCTCTGAGCCCACTGTGCACTCATCTGACCCACAGGGAGTGATGAGAAAGAGACAGTGAAACGGGATTCAGAGATTGCATTTCCCACTCTGGGCACAAGGTGTTGTCCTCACCTCAGACACTTCAGTATCCTCTGGCATATTCACTGCCACCTGCTTCCGAGAGTCCCTCAGCAGATTCCCCAACCACAATGTGTTTCACAGCAAGCACCTTTCTTGGTGATGGAGTAAAGGGCCAGTAAGATTGTGGGCACCAACTTCCTTGCCTAGTGTAAACATGGGGTATTGGTATATCTCCTTTAGGTGAAGCTAGTGGATGGGACCGATGCGCCAATCACCAATGAAACAGTCCAGATTTCCGTGGAAGAGAGCGGCTATCAAGTCAACTACACAACAGATGATCAGGGGCGAGCACGGTTTGCCCTGGACACATCTAAGTTCAAGTTCGCCTCCATTGGGCTCAGAGTGAGTGGCTGGGGGAGGGTGGGGAGTTACTGATGGGGCTTCAAGGGGAGTAACCGTTAGGGGTTTATATAGCTTTTCTGCTGAAAACAGATATCCTCTCACCCAGGGAGTGTGTGTATATATCTATATCTCCTTCATAGCCATGAGGTGGCAACAGCCCTGCCATCAGTTGTGTAGCCACATGTGATAAACACAATATCTTGTACTTTTGACCATCTCACTCTGCCCATCAGTCCTCATCCCCGAGGTCCGATTCCAACATTCAAAACCTCTGAGCTGCCATAAAAAAAATCAACCTGCCACACAAATGGCTTTTTTGCCCCAAATGTAAAGTTTCCTGCTGAGATTGCATTAGCTTGAGATGCAACATCAGAATAAACGAGCATCAATATGTGGCCTATCTTATTGTCCAAATATATAACAGGTGGAAAATAGACTCATTCTCCGTTATCTCACCCTCAAAGAGGGAACATTCTATGATGCTTGATTTTTTTAATGTGTCTGATGAAGTGGGCATTCACCCACGAAAGCTTATGCTCCAATACTTCTGTTAGTCTATAAAGTGCCACAGGACTCTTCGTTGCTTTTCACAGATCCAGACTAACACGGCTACCCCTCTGATTTTTTTAATGTAATTGTCTTGTCCCAGATTTAAAACATTGAAAATGTTTACAATGTACCAGGGACATTTTTGAAATTTTCAGGGATTATAGGGAAAAATTTCAAGAATTTCAAATCAGACAGGTTAAAATAAAGAAAGGCAAGCATGTGGGGCAAGCTCAAGGCATTAAATAACCTCCTCCTGCAAATACAAAGTAGTTCTCTCCTCTCTGCTCTCAGACCAGAATTCTCTCATCTCCAAAACTGCTATTCAGTTCAGATTTTAAATTCTGTTGGTACCAGGTAAATCATTCGAAGTTGTTTGTAAAGTTCTTAGCACACTTTTGGTGCTATACAAATAATATGTCATAAAAATAATGGGCCAGCTTTCCCATTGATGTCAATGGGAGCTCTGGCTGAGTAAGGATTTTTGGATTAGTACTACAAATAAATAAATAAATAGTGTGTCTTGTTTTGTACATGGCAAGGAATCCATGTCCTCTGTGGGTTTTGTCCTGTGAAATGCTGAGCACCCGGATTTCCTATTGAATCCCTGATGAACAAAGCACCTAGCACCTTCCAGAAGCAGGGCCGGCTCCAGGGTTTTTGACTCCTCAAGTGGCGGGAAGTTAAAAAAAAAAAAAGCCGCGATCGGCAGCAGCTCCACCACGTTGCTTTCTTGGTGGCATTTTGGCAGCAGGTCCTTCCCTCCGAGAGGGACTGAGGGACCCGCTGCCGAATTGCTGCCAAAGAGCCGGACGTGCCGCCCCTTTCCGTTGGCTGCCCCAAGCACCTGCTTGCTGCGCTGGTGCCTGGAGCCGGCCCTGTACAGAAGCAGGCCATTATTATCTCGCTCTTTTAAACACATGCTGTGAATTTCAATTCCGTTTTTAAATGTTTTATATAAATATTTTCTCTGTTACCAGGCAACTCATAAAACAGGCACCTACTGTTACGACCGTTCCTGGACCAGTCCTTCATACGAATTGGGCTATTTCAGAGCAAAGCGGTTTTACTCTTCGAGTAACAGCTTTCTCAAAATAGAGCCTGTGTCAGAGATGCTAAGCTGTGGCCACACTCAGGAAGTCCGGGTGCACTATATCCTGAAGCCAGAGGCCGTGGGGGAGCAGAAGGAAATCGTCTTTTACTATTTGGTAAACCTGGACATACTGATCTTTGTCTACATATAGGTGACAACAAGAGATAGGCTCAAGCGCCTGCCAGACAATC